CAGCCCCGCCCCACCCCTCCCCCATCCACCCCCGCGCGTCCGAGTTGTCTCTCCCTCAGAGCGTGGAGCGCCCGGGGCGGGTCTTTGCCTATTTTTAGCTTCTGCTTCTAATGTCAGGGCAGTAGCTGAAGTAAATACTTTCTTCCCTCTCTCAGAATTAGGAGGAAATGTCACAATCTTTTCTGAATGGAAACCACTCTTTTTTAAAAATTCTAAAATTCTAAGTTTTCCTCAGGAGCAGCGTCCCCAGGGCGGGCGAGCGACCTGTCCCGTGAGAGTGTGTGGCTCGCTCAGACCACGTCCCGCTGTGTCTGGAAACACTTTGTCACCTTCCCAGGGGCGTTTAAAATCATACTAAAATCAGACTTGGCTTCACTCATAGGGTTTGTTTGAGCTGAAGGAGTCCCTGGTACCCACCATCAGAAGGTCTGAGGGAAGAGTGTGGAAATTGTTCTCCTGAGAGTGATTAGTCTTCCCTTGAAACTGTAAAAAATAATAATGATTTTCATACATGCTGTAGGGATTTCTTCCCGAATATTGTGGCTACGATTATTTAGAGATAAAAAGTATACGTTAACGACTCCTCTTAGTGTAAACAGCCCAATAATACACTTCTGGCTCGCACCTGAGAACGAATTTTTTAAATGCTATTTCTTCTTTTTTCCTCAGCTTTTAGAATTCTTTCTTTATGGTTTCCAGTCAAATCTGATTTCGGTGAACTCTATGATCATAACGAAGGGAGTGATTTTCACGCTGTTTATGATCGTGTACGTGTTTATTAAGAAACGTGTAATTCCTGCTCCTCGGGAATCCAACACGCTCCCTCCCCTTGGCGGTGGCTTCAAAGTTGTCGCGTTTTCTGTTAAACTTTGTAGGAACTACAAGAACGTGCGACGGGAACCCTGATTTCCGAGCTCCCGGGAGCATATGTAGCAATAAAGGGGTGGCAAACTCCTTTAGGCAGTGAGGTGGTTCTCTGCCTCTTGTCTTTGAAACGCCCTTAGACGCAGTGTGGGGACTTCAGCTGATAAATTCCCCGGGAGAAATGTTTACTCGAATCTGCAGAAAGCCTTCCCGCCGGAGCACTTCATCACCCTGCAAAGGGAAGGACAGGGCAGCGGTTCAGTTTACAGGGCAGTGAGCTCTCCCGGGGCGGCTGCCACAGCTCTTAGATCCCCTTGCTTTTTAGCCCGGCTTCTCCCCAAATCCGCATTCCCTTCTGATGCAGTCTGTGCTGTGCTGTGGCCAGCCAGCAAGGACCGACTTGTGTACAGGGAGCTTGGGGAATGTAACTGGTGCACCAGAGTGATGTTAGGGGCAGGTGGTGTTCTTTTTAAGCTGTAAAAAAAAAAGTGCCATTGTTTGTAGTTTCTGTTCTAGATTGATCTGTAACTTGTTTGATTATTTCTTCAGCTTGGTAATTTGCCCTCACACCACTATTTAATAACTAGGCCTTGCTTAGCGATTAAAAGCAGATAAAACCCAGAAGTATGACATTTAATTCTACCATTGTGTGACAACTGTGTCCCAGACACTGTTAGGTGCACAAAAATGTGTAAAGTTAAGGGTTTTTTACCCTGAAGAAACTTACAGCAATGAAGACCCAAAGTGGAGTCTTTTCTTGAATTTACTAATTTAAATATTATGCTAGTGGCCTGGTCATGGCCGTTTCAAATGGTAACTATTAAAACAACAAGTGTTTTAGCCTTCGTTTTTTTAAAAAAATACTTACCTTAAAAATGGTAACTGATAAATGCAGAAAGTTGTGTTTTCAACTCGTGATAATCAAAATATAAGGAGATTTATTTAAATCTCCCCCACATTCCAAAGCCTATTTCAAATGTCACATTTTTGAATATCACTCTACCTGCCCTTTCTTGAAAAGCATTTGTTTTTCTTAATGACAATAAAGTGAGCTTTATGGGTGGCAGCTATCTGATTTAGTTTGATGTCTTATTATAGTTCAAACCTGAATGAATGAAAAAATGAATTCATGAGATCAACCCCATACTAACAATATGGCACAATATCCTAGTAAAGTTAGAAACTCACTCAGTACTTTGGGAAACCCCATACTAACAGTATGGCACAATCTCCTATTAAAGTTAGAAACTCATTCAGTACTTTGGGACACCTAAGGCCTAATGTCCTTAGCATGGCATACTACACCCTCACAAGTATCACCTACCTATATTTTTTAGCTTCCCTATTTTTTTTATAATCTTCCTACGTCAGAATGTTTATTTTCTTGATATTCCTTGCATGTTCTCCACATTCTTCCCTTTCTCCAGCAGGCAGATTCCTATTAAGCCTTAAAAAAATTCTACCCAAAAGTTATTTTAACTGCAAAAACTTCTCTACCTCCTCCCTGATTTATCCAATCCCTGGACAGAACTACTTGCATACTCATCTATGTTCCTACAGAAATTTATTTCTAACTTAAAACATCTTATTGTATTGAGTTGTTTATGTATCCCCTCCACTACATTGTATTAATCAGGACAAGAATTTATTCATTTTTATATCCCCTGTCACTCCCATTAATGAAAATGAATTAAATGGCTTTACAGTTATTATACATTTGCCAATCCAAAAGGATTTTGTGATGTCTTAAAAGTGCTTTAGGTTCTATTTTTTTTTTTTTTTTTTTTTTGCTTTGGTTCTGTATGTTAAAGTGAAGGCTTGCTTTTATAATCACGTTAAAATACATTTCACATGAAAATTCTGCTGAATTAAATCACTGTAACAAAACTTAGCTTTAAATATTAGGTTTTTCTAAGTTTTTATTTTATTTATTTATTTTATTAAATCATAGCTGTGTACATCAACGTATTTATGGGGTATGATGTGCTGGGTTTATATACAATTTGAAATACATTAAACTGGTTAACATAGCCTTCACCACACTTTCTTAATTATTGTGTTGACATTAATACTCTACACTTAGTATGTTTGACATGTACCCTTGTAAAATGCACATAGGTGTGGTCCGACCCATTACCTTAACAATATTTAAGTTTCATGGTAGTACCAGAGTTGTGATATTGCAGTTTTTCTCTTTTACTACCTTTAATAAACCATGTAAGAAATGAATAAATATGCTAAACCTAAAACTTTGTTTACTAATGAAAGATAACAAAATATATTTTAAATAGTAAGAACCATTACCTAAAATATTTAAACCAAACACAGCAGAGAGGAAGACATCACTTTCTAAAGCTATTTAACATAAATATGGCTACCAATAACACAAATAGTACTTTTTAATCAATGATAAGCACAAAGTAGGAAATAATTAAGAAAACTATGGTACTGTACCTATTCACGTATGTGATTAATCTTTCAGCAGAGCAATAATGGTACTTTATAAACAAGTATCATCTTAAATGTGATAATGTATATGCAGGTGCTTTGAACTGTAAAACACTGCCTTATTCACAATTTTCATTAGTGGAGAGTTATCTACCCATTTCTCTTAAACCACAAATTCTTAGAGTTTATTCCTAACTTTCTTTTCTTTAACTGAATTTGCCCAAATCTCTATGTAGACATTTATCAAATCTTATTGATTCTGCATCAAAAAATGAGCCTGAAATAAATACTCTCTTCTTTATCCATATTTCCACATTATTTTAAAGCCCCATCCTATTTCTGTGACTATTGTAATGAACTGTTCATCAGTATACCAGTCTTTCTCCTCAACTTCTGCCTAGAACTATTGCCTGAGTTTTCTTCTTTTAAAAAATTGTTATGTTACTTTCTTACTTAATAACTTTGATACTTACCGAATGAAATATAAACTCTTTAATTTAGCATATAAATTTCTTCATAGTTTCACTTCAAACTATTTTTTTTATATATTTCACTCCAAGTTACCACAGAAAGACTTGCTTTCCTGCACACTAAACTTCTGGTCTACCCTTAAATAGCTCATCATCACATAAGGCCTTTCCATGGTTTCAGTCTTAAACGTATGCTAGCTCATTTGCCTACCAATAGGTAAAAGTCTAACTTACAATGTCCTGCAGTGGCTCCAACATTTACAATCAGCTTGTAACCACAGTTTTATATGTTGATTGTTCTTTTTTACTTCTGAACTCCTTAATGCAATATTTTATTTTTTGCATGCTTAGCTAGTTAGAAATGAATGACTTTTTCCTAAGCTCTAAGCATTGGAAAATTAGGTGGGAAATTTTAAACTACTTACAACATACATTTGATATTCTAATAAATTTCATCAACAATTAAAAGACTCACTAAAATGAAAATTTGTATTGTATTCTACTGGAATTCATGTGATTGCAAATAACACCTCTTTTAAAAATAGTACTGAGTTCTTTCTCAATCTTTTGAAAGAATCTTTTCAAGATTTTGAGACAATGAAATGTCTGTTTTTTTAATCATATAAAGTTACTTAGATTTCTGGCTCAGTGCTTGTAGCATAGTGATTACGGCGCCTGCCACATACACCAAGGGTGGCAGGTTTGAACCCAGCCCCCACCTGCTAAACAAAGACAACTGCAATAAAAAATAGCCTGGCATTGTAGCAGGCGCCTATAGTCCCAGCTACTTGGGAGGCTGAGGCAAGAGAATTGCTTAAGCCCAAGAGTTTGGGGTGGCTGTGAGCTGAGACATGATGGCACTCTATCAGGGGCAACATAGTGAGAGACTCTGTCTCAAATTTAAAAAAAAAAAAAAAGTTAGATTTCTTTCTCCTTTGGTACAATGGTTTTGCTGACATGAGTCACTTTGTTTGGCTGGTTGCACAATAAATATTTACATAACTATTTTTTATTTAAAATTTCTAAGGTGTTATATATATTTACATTAAAACAAAATACATTTAATATGAAAACTATGCTAAACGTAAGTTAATTTTTTTATCAGAAAACAATTTAGAATAGCAGTTGGGTATGTAGGGTTGAATCATATTAAATTTGAATCTATAGTACACTTTTTCCTAAAGGTATAACCTTTCTAAAAAACAAGAAGTAGCTACGATAAAGTCAAATCTACCTCATTGGTTGCTATGTATATTAAATGAAATATACTATGCAAAGCACTCAGAAGAGTGCTGGGCATATAAATCAGTGTTCCTTAAAGATTTTTTAAATTATGATAGTTATTATTATCAAAATCATAGTGTGCTGAGCTGGCTCCCAAAGATTTGGATGAGCCACACACTTGGGTAACTTCATGTGGGTAGCTAAGTGTGAGCCGTAAAGGAAATACACCATCTAATATCACTAATATTGACAAATGCTATAGATCAGAGACTTTCTTTCTCTTTCTTTCCTTTTTATTTCTTTCTTCCTAGAAAGCAAGTTATTCAACAATTAACAGCATAGTATTACATCCAACTCTATCTTATAATATTCCAGCTACATTACTATGTGAATCATTTCCACTATAGGGTTGTAGTTATAGTTGTCTGTATCAGAAAATTCAATTTACTCTATATTTGATGCCAAGACAAATATCAAAACATCAAAACTTTAAAAAGAAAACTGGTGTTAATTGGTTTTCACCTGGGGAGGGGGTGCGGGAGGGGAGGGGAGAAGGGCAGATGGGTGGTGGGAGGGTAACTGGAAAGATCACGTATATGGTTTGTCTAACAAGGGTACAAGTGAATTTTTCTAGAACTACAGTATAAATGTTTTAACACAATAACTAAGTAAATGACACAAAGTCTATGTTAACCAATCTGATGAAAATATTTCAAATTGTATATGAAAACACTACACTGTACCCCATGTTTGCATTAATGTACACAGCTATCATTTAATTAAAAAAATTTGTTTTCATCTCATTTGATACCTTATTTATGAGGGGTGAGTCCAAAATTTACCACAAATAAAAAAGTAACTGTTTCTGTATTTTAACTTTGCTTATAGTTCCATGATTTCAGAATGGAAATAGCTTCCATT